GGGGACTGAACGAGGTTGCGCGTTGGACCTTACTACCATCTGGACGGCACAAATAGAGATATATAAGTGTGAGTTCTGTAGTCTGAGCAAACAGAGAGGTTCGCCACACCTTTCCCTCTCGCTTGCTGGATGCAGAGGAGGGACCAGCTTCCATATGAGAGTGGCGATCAGATCCCCTAGACATGTCGAATGGGTTCCCATCTTCAGCGTGGACGCCATCAAACACCGGGGTGAATGAAGACTGAAGAGGATTAGCCTGTGACGGTCTCTGCCTCGGCCTATGCATTTGCAGTAGCTGTCGCGGAGAACCTGAAATTTGAGACACAAACACGTCGCCGCGTCGCTTATGAGGGGGTGTCCTCATCGGGCCGAGAGGCGACCCAGCAGCAACTGAGGAGCGGGAAGCCTGAGGCTCTGATGAACGGTGGAAGCCCTGAATCTTTCCTGCAGCAGAGGCGACCGTTGTGTTAGCGACTTCAGGACCGGATGGCAGAGAAACGTCAGAGAAGGGAACACGTGTTTCCCCAATACGATGAGCTGGTACAGGAGGTGGGGGCATATCGCGTTGCTGACCGCGACGCTGAGGATAGCTCGAGGCAGAGGCTTGATCGGGCAAGTTTGAACCTGCATGACCAGGGAGACTGGGATCATGGGGAAGATAGGGGTGTACCAACCGCACGGGTTGCTGTGCGCTGGAAGACAGTTGAGGCTGGGGACGTTGAGAGTGCTGTTTGGTCCTTTGTTTCAGAGATGATGTCGGGGAGAGAGATTTAGTGATGGTGCTCCTAGGCTTCCTAGGTTTCTTCGGCTCCTTAGGCTTCTTGGGTTCCCTAGGTTTCTTCGGTTCCTTCGATCCCACAGAATCCGAATACCGGAGTTTTGATGGGTCAAACTGCTGAATCCGGAGCTGTGTACTTAGTCCCTGGTCAAGATAGCCCCCATTTGACTGGGGAGGATGCGAAGAACCTCCAAGAGGTTCGAGTGTGGGGGGTATTGGCTCATTCCGGGGGTAGAGGCGGGGTGCAAAGGGGATTCATGCCCATCGCGGGACGATTCCGGAGCGCGGTCGCTTAGGATCTGCAGACCGCTTTGCTGGACATCCTGGGATGACTGGTCATGTCGAACGAGTGATGCAAGAGGGATGTCGGGGGACGAGGTTCTCATATGCTGTGAATCCAGCGATGACTTGCGCGAAGGGTTTCGCTCAGGCGCAATGGAACTACTCGCACTCCGGGACCGTCGTTGCGTGGGCATGATGTGTGAGGAAGAATGTGGAAGGTTGTGTAGCTGGGTGAGTAGGGTGTGATGGGTTGAAAAATGGGTGGGTGGAATGGCAAGGATCCATAACTAGTGGTACAGTACTTTTATACTCCTCGATTACATTGCGCAACTCACCTTTGCCCGTAGAGCTATGACCTACGGAACTTTCACCTTTGATTCCTGGCTGTACAGTCGGAGTACCGGACTTCAACTTTGTCTCGGGAGGGATTGCAAGACCTGTAGCTAGAGGATATAGGGTTACCTGACGACCACGTAACAAGGATGTTGTCAGGACGATGTGTGCCAGGCAGGGTTGCTAGAGAGCAATCAGAACTGAAAGGCCAATCTGGGATATCCTACGGTGGAGAATTGAGTCAGCGCCAAAAAGGCACAATAGCAGACACGGTGATCTTCCGACGATAAAGCTATTTATCGCAACAATCATACTGGGCAGTAGGCCATGCCATGCTTCCCTGCATGAGCCGTAGTAACCTCTTGACCATGAAAGACGGGGGGGCTGCGACGAAGAACGATACTGACCTGCAAAGAGACAAGGACAAGGATTAGCGCACGATACCGCCCATTTTCTGGCAGAGTCTTACTTTTGTTTAGAAACATGGCAACCAGGTGAATCGGATGCCCACAATTGGTCATCCAGAACGGCTGATAATGCAAGGATAAATATAGTATGAAAATCCGGGGAATCCGTACAGTAGCTCTACAATGCATCGAAATTGATATGATGAGACGCTCTCCGCCTCTCCAGCTCGTCTTCCCTCTGCATGGAAAATCAGCGCACCGTCGATCCTCCAAACGAAAAATACACACCTTCTCGCTCAAATGCAACACAAATACGATGATAGCGAGGAGAGCTGTCGCCGCGACGACAGTGACCGTGACCCACGGGATCCATTCCCCCGGTCTCAAATACAGCTCCTTCCTCCAACTCGCCTCGTCGTCGTTTCCTCCCAACGGCGGTATGATTACCAACTTTGAATTCGGGATCACACCTTCCATATTGATGAAGTGCTGCTCGGTATGTTTCGTGGACCCGACGAAGAGGTTCTCGATGTAATTGTTCGTGCGGCCAAGACCAAAATAGGCATAGGGGGTGAGGAGGGAGTGATAAGCCGTTTGAGGAAGTTGTCCAACTTGAGCCGCCGATCGTCGTCCTGAAGTGTCGAGGACGGTGTATTTGTACGTCGCACCAGAGTAGCTGACACCGAATGGGTGGTATTTGGTGGAGCTATTCGGGACCACACATACGCCGCTCCCGCAGGCACCGTTAAGAACTATAGGGCTGATTGTCAGCGAGAAAAAACATGCGAGAGCAAACACACTCACCGATAGCTTTGAGGAAGAATGCGTCGTAATAAAAGTTGTTCTGAACAAACGTGACCTTCCCTTGACCCTGCGAGCCCGTCCGCTGAACCATAACGTCCAACGTTCCCTGATCTGTATGTAAGTCCCTCGCACACAACCTCTGACAAACCTTCACTCACATCTTCATCCATGTCAATGAAAGCCACGCTTCTCGCATCCGTGATGTCGCGCAAAATTTCACCACCCTTCTTCAGCATCTGGAAGCCACGTCTTCCGTTCCCGCCAGCGTTGCAGCCAGCGACGCCCTTGCCGCAAGACACTGAATACGCCATTTGAGGCGTGTGGTCGTTCCCAGACGCAAGAATTGCGAGCAAATCTGGGAATCCGTCCTGGTTGACATCCCCAAGTCGTATAGGAAGAGGGATAGGTGGGTTGTGTGTAGTGTCAAACACAAGGAGACGAGGGGTGGAGCCAGAGGACGTGAAGATGTCCGATATCGGTATTCGCACGAATTCCTAATAACCGAATATGTTAGCGTCCGCATTAACGAGCCTCCAGGATACACGCACTGGGTTCTCGCTGCTTTCACGCAAATTGAAGCTGAAGTCGGGATCTGCTGTGCATAAGTCCGTTGGGATACGACACAATGGCTTCCCATTCTTGACAGGCTGTGTCGTAGTGGAAGCGCACAGTGGGAGCTGTTTATTGTACGCAATATTCACACTGCACCCCGATCCAGCTCCACTTGCGTTGGAAACGGAATCACAGGTGACAAACAGCATGTCCAAGGTTCCGTCGCGGTCTGTAGAATCTTATTAATTTCGACTCGGTAGGAGATGATGGAGCACCTACCAACATCACTGAACGTTACAGATTGCAGCCCACGAGGAAATTTCGTAGACTGAGCAAGGGCGTAACCGTCATCTTTGTGGTTGATCCAAATTTGGAAGTACTTGTCGATGCCGTTAACGTCGTCGCAGACCAAGAATATGTCTACAGTCGGATTTGGTCAGCGAGAGATTGGAGTGTAATCTGGTCTTGTACGCACCAGCCAAGCAGTCGCCGTTCAAATCTATTGCAGCGTTGCTGTGAGGGTCTGCAATTTTGCACTGTGTACCGCTCATCTTAGGGTAGACACTGCAGGTGCAACACTTAATGTCGGTGGGTTATGAGCCGTTCAGTAGACATACACATCAAAGACGGGCCCCGTCGGTTGTGACACATTCCATACGTTCTGCCACACCTTGAAAGTGGAGCTTGAAGATGGGGTAGCACCGAACAAGTCAATCTTCAGGTCCCCGTTCATATCCATAGGTATAGGTTGTGAATGCGCGGAAGCGGATGTCGTCAGGAAGTTGGGATCTGTGCGGCGGTGAGACAGAAGTTCTCGGGGAGATGGAAGTACAACGTACCAAATCCGCCATCCGGCAGCCCGACGTACAGCTGAAGCCCTAGCTCCCTGGATGAAGACTCTTCGGTTACAACCAATAGATCGAGCTTCCCGTCTTGGGTGAAGTCGCCCGGAACCACATTGACCACCTTTGACGGGTGATAGAAACTTCCAGACTTCGTAAACGTATATGCCTCTGGGAAACACTGTTTGCAAGCTGGGGTATACTGTGTGGGACTTGAACTCACCATGGTCCCACAAGTACACCACGAACGTCTGCTGATCCGCTTCGAGAGCCAACGCATCCATACTATATAATAAAGGTTCATGAGGGTCATCAGCAGAATATGATAAACTCACAACTGGTCTCCATTGAAGTCTCCGAATGCTACAACCCTTCCGTCCGTGTCAATCCCCCTGGAGCCTGCTTCAAGTAGCGAGTTTCCACTGAATCTCTTCGGGGGAAACGGCCATATTGCGTGTGTTTGTGATGGTAGTGTAAGCCAGGATAAGCTGACGAGTAATGAGGCGAGAGTAGTCGTTCGTCGGTGCATTGGGAGTACCAGTGGGTTACATGGACGCAAGCAGTGAAGCCATCCATAGGCGCCTACACGCACTCCTCCTAGCGGGCGTCTTCTTTCCTTCCGAACTTGAACCTGGTAAGAACATCGTTAACCACTCAGTCGCTCACCTCCGCCTCGTAAACTGTGGACATCATCATGGCCACGAAAAAAGTCCATCTCCTTACAAGATTCGAGGCTTCGACGCGCTCCACGTTCACGTACAGCACCCATGTGATCGCGCTCAGCAGCTGCACACAGTGACCGGTGATTCGAATACCACAGATACTTAAGCAAGTTACGAGGTATGTAGACGAGTAGAAACAGCTGAAGGAAACACTCTCACTTCCAGACTATAAGCGTCAGTGGACGACCATTCAAGACTTTCCTCAGGCTGCTCCTTGGGCGAAGGTATCGTGAAGTCAGTTTATACGTATCAAGTTGTTACCTCTTCCCTTCAAACACATGGGTCGGTGGCGTAGTTGGTTATCGCATCTGTCTAACACCATGTGATCTTCATCAGATCACGTGATTGACCACAGAAGGTCCTCAGTTCGAACCTGGGCCGACTCACTTTTTGCACTTTTAAGCACGTTATATTTTGCCTGGGTGTTGTGAGCCGAAGCTACGAATATCTGAGAGCCTACAATGATACAATCAACTTATATGTTCCGTGGACCAAGTGGACGAGAAGGATTTGAATATGCGACGTCTCAGACGAGAGTGCCAATGGCTAAATTGAAGGAGACAACGATAGATAATGTATTGTAGGGTATACATATAAGAGCATGGGTGCTCTATCTCACAGCTAGTGATACATGCGATGATACACGAAGGTGACAGCGATAATGATGACAGGTGGTGACGCAAATGCAAGCAGGGCGAGACGCAAGAGTTTACTTCAATTCAGCGAAACCAACAGCGTTCTTCTCGAAGCTGAAGACACTGTAGACATTCTTCATGAAGCTGTGAGGCAATGGACAATGTGAGATTGGAAACTATCGTTAAGTGACTGATGAAACCGTACCTATCACCGAGGAGCCAGACGTTGTCTCCAAGACCCAGGTCTTCAGCGGAGAGAGCACCGACACATTCGCTTGAGCCTTCCTCAACCTGTCCAAGATTGAAGCTGCCATAGAGTGTCAGCATCTGCACCAGCCAACGCAGACAATCGCCTTCGTGAACACTCACTTTTCTGGTGTGATAGCCCACGTCTTGCCACCCCAGTTGAACGCGACGTCCGGAACAGAGTCGCAAGGGAAGGAATAGAACCCAGCTTGGCCTTGCACAGCCTTCGCACCTGGAACGGAGGCGTACAAGGCATCGACGGCCGCAGGTGGACCGTACATGATCGTGGTGCCGGAATCGATGATAGTGTCAAAGCTGTCTCCGACAGGCTTGCCGTTCACCAGCGCCTTCGCGCCACTGGCTTGCCAAAAGCCACTGTTGACAACCTCGTGGAATTCGACCTCGCCAGTGAAGAGGCTAGAGTCGGCACCACCGAGGTAGAGTGACGATCCAGAAGAGGCGAGTTTGAACGAGAAGGCGTTCTCAGGAACAGATTTCTGTTCAAACGCACTTTGGAAGAATGTTGGCTGTGAAAAGTACAAGGGTGAGTTCATGCATGTAACAGAAATGTGGAAGAAGACGAACAGCCTTGAGGTTGGAGATATCCGGGAATGCCAAGCCGAGGATGCCGTCAAGAGGATCGTCATTGAAGAGATCAGAGAGTTCGGTCACAGCAGAGAACTTCTGGCCCTCAGCCTTCACACCAGCAACGGTGACTGAGACGAGGTAGTTGCATCATTAGTACATAACTAAATGATACAAGGGAGCTCAGCGTACCGGTGTCCTCAAAAATGGGTCCAGAGACCGTGGAGCCGTCACCGTATTGAATTTGGAACTTGCCCGACTGTGGTTTGCTTGTGGATGACGTCGAAGAGTCATATGTGTGCTTGCTTCCACAACCTTTGCATTGGGAAGCGTTTGGCACCCACAGATCGGAAGAACCGGTGTCGAAGTCAATGACGAACGGCTGATCGTTGGAACCAATGGAGATGGGACCGGTCCACTCGGTGTCGTCGTTCTGGTCGGTGAGTGGCTCGCTCTGACGCTTCGCGAGATGCTCCGGGAGAGTAGCGAACGCCTTGATCTCAGCACCACGGTTGAATGCTTCCCTGCCACGGTTGGCTTCGAGGTTGATCAAGTTCTGTCGGTGCTTGCTGAAAAAAAAAGGCTGTCAGCATGGTACATCACGTGCAATAGAGGCGAGTACGTACTTAATGGTTCTGAACGTCTGGATGACCGCCGTGTCATGGTCGAATGTGCCGTCAGGCTTGGTCAAGGAGCTCCGCTTGGGGAGGGCAATGCGAATACCCTGATCGCGAATGATGGGGCTCGCAGAGGCGACGAGGGCAAGGGCAACGGTGACCAGGGTGGCTTTGCAGAACATCGTGACGAAGAGACAGAAGTAGAGCTAACTGCGGAAAAGGGTGGGGAGACCGAGGAGCTGAGGCACAGGACAAGGAACTGGTGAACCTGTTGAACGACTCGAACTCTATGAGGGCAACCTTTTATACGTTTCCATAGCCCTAGGATGGGTGGCAGGAAGGCATAGATGCATGATGTGTCGAAGTTTGCAGCATGACGAACTCCACATCTGAACACAAGGTAATAATCGGCTAAGTGGAGCGACCACCCTTTTCGCTGTCAAACGGCCTTGTATGAGTGACAGCGTTTGGTTGCCTCCATATGAAGCGCATATGTGTCGCACTGGAAATGACTCGGTTGAATACGGTAACATGTGGGCCAACGGCTGTGGTTGCTGCAGTTGGCGGACATGCAGTGGCGCCGGTGATGATTTGAGGCGGCACTTCACTGGTGAATATCAGCTGTTGGAGTCGGAGAAACGAAGTCAGCGATGGTTTCTATGCTGCTGGTTCATCGAGCAATGTGGATCATACCGTCAACCATCACAGCAATTCTAATAATAGCATCGGTGTAGATTATTAGCACTATACTGAGCTCGAAGCTCGAATTTACGCGAGTACCATGGCCGATCAGTGCCCTAATGACTGTCACGGTGACCACAGGCTAAGGATAAATGTCAATTTGTTAGGATGAAAAGGTGAAAGAATGTCGAAGAAGAACCATTGTGGCTGAGCTGATCTCGTATTCGAGTTGTTTTGTCTACCAACACGGGTTTGGAGAAGGCTGAGACACGATACTGACGAGTTTTTTCTTTCAATGCATCATGGTGGAATCATGGAAGAGAGGATGAGCGGGTGGTTACGCGGTTACGGACTCGACGGGTCCTCATAAATGATAAGATCTATGATCGCGGCCTCTCATTGGCTGAAGATTAGAAACGGACGCCCCCTTCAAAGTTCACAGCAAACCCTTGTTATCTTTCCAGTCCCCATGGCCGCTGACTTATCGCAACCTTGCTATCGCTCACCCACGTATTATTATCGCTCGTGGGCGACATAAGCGTTATAAAGAGGGCGTACAACTTTTGCGCCATGATAAACCATCCTTCTTGCCAATATGTTGCGAGTTTCTTGTGGTGCGGTGGTGGTCTGTACCATGCTTTCGGTACTCTCTTTCGCCCAACAAACACCCATGGTCGGTGTGGATTACCCGCAAAGTGTGGTCGGAGCCGTAGATTTTACCAAGCTATTCGCCACGGGAGATAAGAAGTCCGCACAGGCATGGTCGCAGCAGTCCTGGAACGGACTCACGACATTCGCAAAGACGCGACCTCTGCGCTGTTTCGGAGAGGATTCAGGTGTTTCGTATGATATCGCAGTTCTCGGTGAGCTACAAATGAGACATCACCCACCCATGTTCTCATTTTTGCCGATGCTGTAGGTGCGCCATTTGACACCGCAACAAGTTACAGGCCTGGGTAACGATGCATCTCGTATTTCATCTGCGGCTGTGTCTCATCCCCATCCTTCAGCACACGCTTTGGCCCTAATGGTATCCGGCAAGGCTCACGCCGGCTTGACGTCGACAGAATCAACGTCCCTCTGAAGATCAAACTCAGTGACAACATCACCGCCGTTGACTGCGGGGACGTTCGTATGTGCCACGCGATCTCTTCATGCAGGAGCGGAGCGTAGCTCATAAATTCCATCAGCTATGGTGTATACTGACAACAAAGTTGCGTTGCGTCAGCTGGAGATTGCAAATGCCGCCTTGCTGAACAGGACAAGCTTACGGTCATCTGCTGGGGTTTCCCTTGCGAAGGACGGTAAATTCCATCCTCGTGTTTTGACGTTGGTAAGTTGTTCGCTAGAATAGTTGCGATATCCGAACGAGGCGGTACTCATGGGACAATCTTAGGGTGGAGATCATACGATTACCCTCCCTCTCTTACGGGGTGTCGCTGGAGTCTACGGGCCCGTCAGGTAAGCCTTTTCAGGCAGTTGAGCTACCGAAACAAGTCTGACCAGCGGAGTATAGCGTTATTCACTTTGATAGCCACATAGGTTCGTGCTTTGCCTCAAACATCTCGCTCCTTGTCTTCTACTAATATACCAACAGATACATGGAAGCCTACCCCAATTGTATGCGTCAACACTCTGATAGTCTGAAGTAAGCTAATCGTAGCTACGAAGCCGGGCGGACCATGGTTGCCAGACGAGGAGATTCCAGTCTCACATGGAAGCTACTTCTACTACGCCCACAAGGAAGGACTGCTCGCACCAAATAATGCAAACATCGTGCGTCTCTCCTGCTTGCTTTGAACATCACGGAATTGATTGATATTCGAGGCGAACCCCTTGTCTAGCACGTCGGAATTCGCAACGCTGTTCACAGCTGGACGGATTACGATGACGACTACGAGGTCGGTTTCGTCATATCCCACGCAGAGGACATCGAAGAGATCGGATGGCGTGGAATCGTGAAGTACATACGAGAAACTGTGGGCGATAACCCAGTATACAGTGCGTATATCATAGCATAGCAATGGTGATTGACTACGGAGCTCAAACTCACCGTTGTTCGTAGTTACTCTCGATATAGATGTCCTGGACCCGAGCGCAGCACCTGCGTGAGTTCCATCTAAATCCCTTAGTCCCTGGTTCTGATTCTCAGACATCTCTCATCTAGGACCGGAACGTATGTGATCACCCCCTCGCAACCCTATTATAAGTCTGACCCGCCTCTCCCATCCCAAGCCCTGAGATCGGAGGGTTCACCACCAGGGTACGTACTCTTTCTGACCAGTCACCATTACATCCATCCATCATCATCCTCACGATGGCACGGCTTTCCCTCAGGAAATCAAGAAAATCCTCCAAGGATTAGTCGGCCTCAAGATCGTCGGCGCCGATATCGTTGAAGTCGCTCCAGCATACGATACCCAAGGTAAAAACGCCACTGAAACCTGATATGTATTGTGTCGTTGAAGATGTCGTTGTACAGACGAGATTACCCAGATCGCAGCGGCGAACATTGGGTGGGACCTCCTGGCGCTCATGGCGATGACTCCACTGGTTGCATGAAGGCGTTATCCCATCCTGTCGTCACATACTCTGTGAGGATTTTATAGCCAAAGTCATTGA